CAGTCTGACCCACAACAATGAGGCGATAGCTAGGAAAGGCTGTGGTAGAATGACAACTACTCCACCTTGGTCATTCATCAGCTGTGTGCCTTCCTGTAAAGTGCCTAACCTTTCTGAACTCTTTTCCTTGTCCTGGAAATGATGAGCTAAGGTACCAAGTGCTTAGTAAACACTAGGGTGGCATAAGGGACCATCAGCCAGCGTGGGCTAAGAAAATTTCCTAATCTTTTCTTCTGACTCGTCTCTAGTGACACAATTTTCTTAGGCTTTAGTTTCCTATTGAGTCTGCCTACAGTTTTTCTGGGCCATTTGTATTTTTATTTATTTTGCAATGCTAGGGATCAAACCCAGGGCCTTACACATGCTAGGTAAGTGCTCTACCATTGAGCTATATCCTCAGCCTCAGTATTTTGAAATATGGAATACTGTGAGGGAAATTCCAATAAAATATGTATACAACTGGCCCCAGTGGCTCTCGCCTATCATTCCAGCTACTCAGGAGGTTGACCCAGGAGGAGCACAAGTTCGACTTTCTTACTTTACTACAAGTATCTTTATCATTTCCAATCCTCAAAACAACTCAGCAAACTACATAGCATTGTTCCCACGTTATCGATGAAGATCTACATATTAAGTAATTTGCGCAAATCTACACAGATAGAAAAAGGCAGAGCTGGAATGATGTCACTTCTTTGTACCACCTGGAATGTGTGGGAAGATGGTCCTCCTATTCCTGAATTAAATATGCCCACTTTTTCCTATTTATCTTTTGTAACTTGCCTTGATGTAATATCTCTTCTCTGCTTCTTCGGGGCTGTTTCTTTATTCCCTCCCCTCCAAAAGCATTTATTACCTTCTCTCTTCCCTGTCTGGTTCCTTTTCTATCTTCAGTACTGGAAACCACACCCAGAGTGTCACGCATGCAACCCAAGCTCTCTACCACTGAGCTATGTCCCCAGCCGTACTATTTATTTATTCATTTTTGCAGTAGTGGGGTTTGAACACAAGGCTTCGAACATGCTAGACAAGCTCTCTACTACTGAGCTGCTGCATCGTCAACCATTTTTTTTTTTTTTTTTTAATGTGAGACAGGGTCTCACAAAGTTGCCCAGTCTGGTCTCGAACTTTCAATCCTCCTGCTTCAGTCCGAGTAGCTGAGATTACAGACACATACCACTACACACACACACACACACACACACACACACACACACACACACACACACAAATGTGCACACACCTTGAGATGCTGGGGTTGAACCTGGAACTTCCCATTGGTTCCTTCTCTCTCTCTCTCTCTGAACTCAAGACCCGTAATTGCAAGGCAGGCACAGCATCACTGGGCTAAATCCCTGGCCCTGGTTCTTTTTCTCTCGAAATGCCAACAATTGTCCATCTTCTTTTATTTCTGAAATGAACTACTGAGCTGTGATTGAGGCACAGCAGTCTCTCCTTCTGTAGATATGAATGATAGCCACGGAAATGTAACAGGTCCAGAACAAGAATGAGACCCAGCGATGTCTTAAACTTAGCTACAAATTGAGTGCACAATTCTGAAAGGGAATGCACTTAATGCACTTGGACCCAATAACTTGGGTCTGAACTCATGACATCTCTGGAAATCTGTCTTGGGGCTCCCTGGTCCACGTTATGACTAAATCAGTGGAAGGCTGCTACCTAATGTGCATGTCACAGAAGCCAGGAGGCTCAGAGGCGCATGTGCCCCACGCCTCCCTGCTGTACCTTAGGCACTGTTGTCGTCACTATTTTTCTTTCTTTCTTTTTTTTTTTTAAACAAATCTAGATCTTTAATTTGTTGTCACTTTTTAAAAATAATTCCTTTGGTTTCTTTATACAGGGTCTCACTATGAGTTTTCGTTTTTGAGAGGGGTCTCACTATGTAGTGAGACTGACCTGGAACTCACTATGTAGCCCAGGCTGGTCTCAAACTCACAGCAATCCTCCTGCCTCAGCCTCCTGAGTGCTGGGATTACAGGCCTGCACCACCAGGCCCGGTGGTCATCACTATTTTTCATCTTTACCGTGCCCTTCCACAGAGATGCTCAATAATGTACACACTGTGTAAGTAATCTGAAATCCTTTTCCTCAAGCAATAGTATTTAGTAGTAATAAAACACTAATTTGTCTACCAAGTGACATATTTATAGGAACTGTTTACATGGACATGTTTTTATTGTTTCTACTCATTTGCTAAGTACTTTCCAGTACATATTTATGAAGCACATGCTTTTACCCCAATAACAGTGAAAAAAATCAAACATTTATTTTATTAGTACCAGCAGGGCTTGTAAGTCCTAGTGCCCTGATTTTTGCTACTTCTGGTGAAAGCCAGAATTAATGGTGACTGAGCACCTACTATGTGTCAGATTCTGAAAATCACTTTAAATAAATTATCTATTTAATTCCCCTGAGACATCTCACCAATAAAGAAAATGTAATTCCCCTGCAACATAGATTTTACCAGGGAGACAGAGACATTATCTTATCCAAAGCAGTCAGCCAAAAGCCGGGCATGGTGGTGCACGCCTGTAATCCCAGCACTCGGGAGGCTGAGGCAGGAGGATCGCTGCGAGTTCATGACCAGCCTGGGCTACATAGTGAGTTCCAGGTCAGTCTCAACTACATAGTGAGACCCTGTCTCAAAAAAACAAACAAACAAAAAAGCCAAAAAGCCCTCAGCAGGACTTTGAACCCATTATCTCTTCTTGATTCTAAAATCCCAAATCATTATTCCATTTCACCAGCTCCCCTAATGTCTCAGGATTGAATACACTGTGAAAAATACATTTTGTTCCTTTCTCAGAGAGGCTGCATGGTTACCCCAGAATGGGACACACAGAGATAAAGAAACACAGGATGCTAATGCTAATTTATCTATGAATAAGTTATATATTCACTCCAAGGAAATGACTCCCTAAGAAATCAGTGGTAAGGGATCTTCAAAAAAAACAAGGGCCAGAACAACAACTTGACCCATTTCTGAAGTCAAGAATGGCTACAGTTTGTGAGCACGGTGCAAAATGTGGGACTCTTGGTCCAAAATGCATAGTTTTAAGATGACAATATCATAGCATTAAACTAAATACAGGACACTTCTAAGCAAAGGGCCTTGTGTGACTACATTGGTCATACGACCATGAAGCTGGCCCTAGCTTATCAGAAGGCTCTCACTAGTGTCCCCCAGGCATCAGAAGCCTCTCACCATTATGAGATGGAGTACTTACTGCATGCCTGGAAAGGCTTTTGGAACCTTTCATAAGTTCTGTGACCCCAAAACAAGTTTATGAAGCACATGTTATTTTCCTGTTTCACAGTGGATGAAACTCAGGCTTAAAGAGGTAATCGTTTAACATCTAAAGTAAGTAAATATTAACAAAAACCAAATTAATAGAGGTATTTACAATGCTGCTCCTGGCTGGGTATGATAATGTACACCTGTAATCCTGGCTACTCAGGAGGCTGAGCCAGAAGAATCATAAGTTCAAGGCCAGCCTGGGCAACTTAGTGAGAGCCTGTCTGTAAATTAAAAAATAAAAAGCTGGGATGTGGGTCAGTGGCAGAGCATTTCCAGGTTCAACCTCCAGTACTGACAAAAGAAAATCCTGTTTCTTGAGTTTGTACCCTTTTTAGCATAAGTCTATGTCTCCTGGCCAAACACATAAACTGAGCTACAATGCCTAGAAATTAGGGAGAGGCCAGAGAATAGGGCTGGGAGCTGCTCAAGGAGTCTATGTGCTTCAGAAGAAGCTGAAGCACAGTTGTGCAGCTTGGGCTTGTGGAGCTGCTATGGACTCAGAGGGAGAACTCTGCTTGGCAAACACAATGGCCAATTCCCAAAACCCCTCCAAGGTTGACTGGATTTCTGACTTTCAGGAAGTCTTTACTTTGATAAAAGGAAACTGCACAGAACCTAAGGTATCTAACGCAATGAAATACTGAAAGCAGCCTACTGATAGCAGGAACAAGACCAAGATGCTGGCTACTGTTGCTTCTCCTCAATACAGTCCTGAAGTTAGTGCAATCAATGCAACTGGACAAGAGAAAAGGAGGAAAGGCAATCAGGAGAACTTTACTTTCTCTTCTCTCTTTCTTCTTTTGGTACTGGGATCGTACTTGGGTCCTTACGCTTGTGAGGCAGGCGGCAGAACCACTGAGCCAAATCCCCAGCCCTTTCTTCTCTTCTCTTTTCTTTATTCGTGGTGCTGATGCTAGGCATGCTACACCACAGTTGAGGCATTTAAAAAAGGCAGGATGGGCCCGGGATTTAGCTCAGTGGTTCTGGTGCTTGCCTGGCAAGCGCAAGGTCCCGAGTTCGATTCCCAGCACAAAAAATAAATAAATAAAATAAATAAAAAAGGCAGGATGTCAGAGTGGGCACGCACCAGACACAGTAGAGGTAAACAGGGAGACACATCAGCCAAGGGAGCAAAAGGCTCGTGGGCAGGAGAGTCCACCTAGGGTACTGCACAGAGCACCAACTACACAGGGTGTGAATGCTGAAGACTGATTTCTCTGGGGGTCTTCTGTGAAAACAAGTACCGGGGTTTGGTGACAAATGCAACACCATCTAAGTATACCTCTGACTCCTCTTTGCTCCACCAAGACAGTAACTATACAATAGCCCATTGAACCAAGAAAAATCTCCCTTTACAAAAATGTGGTCCCAGGCCGGGGATTTAGCTCAGTGGTTGCACTTGCCTCGCAAGCACACGGTCCTGAGTTCGATTCCCAGTACCAAAAACAAAACGAAAAATGTGGTCCTGGGCTGGGGATATAGCTGTGGTAGAGTGCTTGCCTAGCATATGTGAAGACCCAGGTTCCATCCCCAGGTGTTTTTTTATTTTGTTTTGTTTTGTTGTTTGAGACAGGGTCTCACTATGTAGCCCAGGCTGGTCTCGAACTCACAGTGATCCTCCTGTCTCAACCTCCCTACTGCTGGGATTACAGGTGTGCACCACCATGCCCAGCTTCCATGCCCAGTGTTGCCAAAACAAAAACCAAAACCCCAAACAAAATACAAAGTGGTAATAACCATCTTACTTACTTTTGTTCTTGCTGAGACAAAATACCCAACACCTAAAGTTAAAGGGAGGAAGGCTTATTTAGCTCACAGTTTGTTGAGGTTTTGATCCATAATCAGCTGGCTCTAAGGCAGGGTTGCAGATATGAGAGGGGCACCTCAGAGGAGAAACAGTTCATGGCACCCACATCATAGCAAAAGCAACAAGAGACCTTAACCGCATCTTTCTGCCCCTTTTATCTTATTCGGACTACTCGGGGCAGGTAGCACTTATGTCCTAATCCCAGTGCCCTCAGCCCCAGCCCCACCATGAATCAATCACACACTCTAGATTCAGCCACCTCTGAAAAAGCATGAGGCTTTGGGGGGACATCTTTTATTTTCTGTTCTCTAGTGTCATCCTCCCATCCCAGCCAGCCAGGCTTATGACTCTCAGACGGATGGCCACAGTGCTGGTAACAGATAGGGGGTTATTTTATACACTAAGGCACAAGGCAGTGGTACAGCTGGCAGGAAGAAAGATGTAATTATATTGCATCTCAGAGCTACCAGCAATGAATTTATGCATAAAAGACTAGATTTGCCATGTATTATTTACGCCGGCATCAATTTTCCCAGCTGGCTCTATTTATTGTGCAAAATCTCCTCTGTCTGTTTATGGGCAAGGCCATGGTTTGGCACCTCTGGTTATTCTATACTGCGGAAGGGCCCTACAGGGCATCGAGCATATTAAACAAGTGGCTGGATTCACTAGAAATGGGTCATATCCTTCCTTCCTGATAAATTATATCCCTGGGACAGCTTCCAGCCTGCATTCTCACCTAGTCGCCGTGAGGACGCATGCAGGTGTGTGAAACCAAACCGAAAAGAAGAAAGGAATATCATTCTGTGGGGAAGCTCACTAGGGGATCGGAAAAACAACCTTCTGGGGGAGAAATCAGGTGGCTCTGGGGCTCCAGGAATTTTCTTTTTATATCCCATTAAGAGTAGAACATGATGAAGAGTTTTACATTCATTTGAGGTTTTCCACTCAGTAACTCAGAAATAGAGGTGAGGGAAAGCGAGTCTCCAAAACAAAAACAGGCAGAGGGGAGGCGGGGAAGGAGGGAGGAAGGGAGGGGGAGGAAGTGGGGGGCAAAGGCAGGCTAGTGTGGCTTCCCAGATTTAAACCCTGTGCTAGGATTGAGCACAGGCTCTGATGGTGACACCTGGGGCCATCCATCTGTCACTAGTGTGGTGTTTTTACTTTATTTTATTTATTTATTTTTGGTACCGGGGATCAAACTCAGGCCCTTGTGCTTGCAAGTCAGGCAGCAGAACCACTAAGCCAAAGCCCCGGCCCTAGTGTGGTGTTTTTAGAAATGCCCTAGCCAGGGAGGATTCAGCTTCACCTGGAAACACAGATGGTAGGTGTGAAGGAAGGGACTTAGCACCAGCTTGGGCTTCTGGGCATCCTCTGTTCTGTGGCTCAGTGTGCTTCCACAGTGAGGGGACCTCTGGGCACCTGTGAACTCCTGCAGTCCAGGGACTAGGTGGCAGCGAACAGCAGTCCATTGCTCCACGCATCCCTCATTCCTGATCAACAGCACCAGTCACGTCTGCTCTCCCTGTAACACTGGGCTCTGCTCTGAAGTCCCCCAGGTGCTAATGTCCATGACCTCCTGGAGCCCTGTTGGCTGGAAGAAGAGACAGGAGGGAGAGGTACATCGATGGAAGCAACCCAAGTAGGTGCTCTTGAGTTTCAGGGCTTCAGCATCAAAGAATTGCTCTTTTGTTTGTTTGTCTTTTGAGACAGGGTCTCACCATGCAGTTCAGGCTGGCCTTGAACTCACTATGTAGCCCAGGCTGGCCTCAAACTCTCAGTGATCGTCCTGCCTCAACTTCCCAAGTGGTGGGATTACAGGCGTGCACCACTATAATGGAATTCCCTAGACACCTGGGGCATAGAATCTACCCTCCCAGGCCCAAGGTCCCTGGTGCCTCTCTGGGGCTGCTCACCTGACGGGGTGACTTGGTCAGACACGCCATGCGCAGGCTTCTGCCTGATGCTCCTGTTCCGTCAATGCTGTCCAGGAGAACCCGGGTGCTGGGCACAAAGCTCCAAGAGCGTCCCAGTGCAGGTTTGAGCCTTCCACTGTCCCTGTCTCGGGTCATGTGGTTGGTCACCTGCAGAAAGGCTTACAGATGCATCATGCTAGTACAGAGGATGTCTGTTCCTACGGCTCCACCTTACACATGGGGAAACGGAAGCGTAGTGTGGAGAAATGATGCCCCCAAAGCTCTATAACTTAGCAGCAGGCCTGACACCAGATCCTGGGGATCCTGACCTGTTCCCAGCTCTTACCACTAAATCTCAATGCCTCAGACCCCAAAGAGAAGACCACGGGGTGCTTGTCTGGGAAAAAGTGGTTCTATTTGCAGTTTCCTAAAGCTAGTGGTGGGCTTGCACCTGTTATACACCCAGCCCAACAGAATGCATCCAGGGACCGCGTGTGTCCAGGCCTCTGCATCTGGGGGTGCGCCTGCATGTGGAGTGAGAGGAGTTTCGGAAGAAGAGTCCTCATCTGGAGGTTGGCGCCCCCTGCCAGGGCTGGCCATGGAGGATGCAACTTTCAGGAGCCCCTCAAGAGCAGAACTGTGGCTGAAACGAATCCTCGCCATCGCTGCCAGCACCCAGCACTCAGCAGGTGCCCACAAATATCCCAAAGCCAGGAGAGGAAGGCAGGCCCTGGGACCTTGTGTTCAAACAAAAGAACAGGAAAACAGATTCCTTTACACAGCCAGTGGGTTACAACTTGCATAACCTTCTTCAGATAGCAGCCATATGACATCTAGACATTTAAAAGTACATGCAGCTAGCTGGAGGTGACAGCATGCACCTGTGGTCCCAGCTACTCAGGAAGCTGAGGCAGGAGCATGAGTTGAACTTTGGAGTTCAAAGCCAGTGTGGGACGCATAGTCAGATGTCCAACTCATAAAACAAAAACACATGTATCCCTGAGTCAGTAATTACATACTTAGGAAGAAGTAATATGATCGCTTCTTGGCCTTTTAGCTAAGATCAAGTGTAGGAAGAAGTAATACGAGCTATGTGGAGATTTAGGTATAAGGATGGTTGCTGTAGCTTTTGTTGTTTTTTTGTTTTGTTTTGTTTTGTTTTTTGAGACAGGGTCTCACTATGTAGTTGAGACTGACCTGCAACTCACTATGTAGCCCAGACTAGTCTCGAACTCACAGCGATCCTCCTGCCTCAGCCTCCTGAGTGCTGGGATTACAGGTGTGTGCCACCACGCCCAGCAGGTTGCTGTAGTTTTATTTATTTTTTATTTTTTATTTTTTTGGTACCAGGGACCAAACTCAGGTCCTTGCATTTGCGAGGCAGGCAGCGGAACCACTGAGCTAAATCCCCAGCCCTGTAGTTTTATTTGTAAAGGTCCAATGAACTGGTTAGATCATTATGGCATAGCAAGTGAGGGAAGCAAATTGTGGCCCACAGGCTAAATCTGGCTCAAAAATTGTTTTGGTAAACCCAAGTTTTGTTTTGTTTTGTTTTTGAGACAGGATCTCATTATGCAGTTCAGGCTGGCCTTGAACTCACTGTATAGCAGAGGTTGACCTCGAACTGACAGCTAGCCTCTTGGCTCAGCCTCTCAAAAGTTTTGTTTGTTTTGTTTTGTTTTTATTTTTCTTGGGGCTGGGGATTAAGCCCACAGAGTGCTGAGTTACATCCCCAGCCCTTTTCACTTTATTATGAGAAAATGCCTTGCTATGTAGGAGGAATTTGTATTCCTCCTGTCTCAGCCACCCAAGTATCTGGAATTACAGGTATGTACCACCACACCTGGACATAAATCAAATTTTATTGCAACATGGCTTGGTCATTTGTTTATGTTCATCCATGGCTGGTTCTGTAACATTCTGACAGAGTGAGTAGTTGTGACACAAACTACGTGGCTGTAAATCCTCTGATATTTACTACCTGGCCTTCTATAAAATAGTTTGCTTGGGCCAAAATTTAGCTCAGTGGTTCGCAAGTGCAAGATCCCAAGTTCGATCCCCAGTACCAAAAAAAAAAAAAGTTCACTGATTTCTGGGACACAAGCACTAAACAATATAATATGTGGCTATTACAGCCACTGTGGAAAACAGCAGGGCAGTTCCTGAGGAAATTAAAGATTGAAATACCATTTTATCTAACAATTCCATATGTGGGTATGGACCCAAAAGGTGTGAAAGTAGAGATAAGAGAGGTATCTGTCTGCACACCCACGTATGTAGCCGAATTAGTCATGACAGCCTAAAGGTAGAAGCAACGTCAGTGCCCATCAGCGGCTGAACGGCTAAGCCGACACGGCAAACACGTACAACAGAATCATTACTCAGCCTCATTAAGGGGAACTTTGACAAATGCTACAACACAGATGAACCTGGAGGACAGTATGCTAAGCAAAAGAAGCCAGTCACAACCGGCAAATGCCATTTGATTCCACTTACCTGAGGTACCTAGCAGAGTCAAAAGCATAGAGACAGAAAGTAGAGTGGTGGTTGTCAGAAGCTTGGAGTAGGGAGAAGTAATTATTATTATTATTATTAGGCACTGGGGATTGAACTCAGGACCTTGCGTTTGCAAGGCAGGTGTGGTGTCACTGAACTAAATCCCCAGTCCCAGGGAGATATTTTTGATGGGCACAGAGTTCAGTTTTACAAGATGAAAAGTTTATAGACAGTCTGGCGTGGTGGTGGACACCTGTAATCCCAGTACTCAGGAGGAGGAAGCAGGAGGATTGCCCCAAGTTTAAGTCTAGCCCGTGCCACATAGTGAGCTCAAGGCCAGCCTGAACTGCATAGCAAGACCCTGTCTCAAAACAAAGTGATAGAGATGGACAGTATTTAATAACACTGTATGTGTGCATTTATATGAACATACATGTTATTGCCATACTCTTGACTGAACCCAGGGCTTTCACAGAGCTACACCCCAGTCCTTTTTAAAGTCTTAAGTTTTTATTTTTTTTGGTACTGGGAATTGAACTCAGGACCTTGAGCTTGTGGGGCAGGCGTGGTGCCACTGAGCTAAATTCCCGGCCCAGTCCTTTTTTATTTTGAGTCAGGGTCTTGCTAAGCTGTCAGGGTTGGGCTCGAATTTACAATCCTCTTGCCTCTGACTGCCTCACAACTCACTGGGATGACAAGTATGCAATACCATGCTCAGACATTGTATGTGTTTAATACCACTAAACTGTAAGCTTCAAAATGTTTAATACAATAAATTCTATGTATATTTCACCATAATAAAAAAAACTGGAAGAAATATGTTGCTCCTAAAGGATCAAAAGTTGGAGGCTGGCTTGGGGAATGCAGCAAGACAGTCTCAAAACACACAAATAATATGTGGCTGCTAAAAATGACAATAATAGAATCTCTGTAAGAACACGGGAGATGGACTGAGATGTTAAATTAATTTTTGTCTTATGAAGTTAGAAAGTTGATTCAAAGTATTAGTACATATTCAGAGAAAAAAGATTTTATGGAGATAAAACATTAACATGGTTTTGTGAATGTGGAGATTGATTCCAAGTCTGAATCTTATATAACTTTTTTTTCAGAGAAAAAAGATTTTATGGAGATAAAACATTAACATGGTTTTGTGAATGTGGAGATTGATTCCAAGTCTGAATCTTATATTTCTCTTTTTTTTTTTTTAAACTCTTGCTATGAGAATTACCCAGGCTTTTAAATAACTGCTTCATGGGCTGGCAGTGTAGCACATTGGTAATATGCTTGTCTAGCATGTAAGAGGCCCTGGGTTCAATCCTCAGTGTGACAAAAACATAACATAATAAAAACCGCTTCACAAGCAGGAGAGGTTAAACACAAAACGATCCATTTCTATGAAGCTCTGGAAAAGGCAAAACTATTGAAAACACATGAGTGGTTGTCTGGGACCAGGAGATCTTCTGGTATATAACAAGACTGGACACAACTATACCCAACAGTTACCTTCAAATAAGGAGAAAGCTATTTTATGTAAATTATACCTCAATAACTCTGACTTATAAAGGAAATAAAACAAAAGAGGAAGGAGAAGGAAGAAGGAAGAGAGAAGAGAGAAGCAGCAGCAGCAGCAACAGCTAGGTGTGGTGGTGCAAGCCTGTGATCCCAGCCCTCTGAAAGGCTGAGGCAGGAACATTCCGAGATCAAGACCAGCATGAGCAAATAAGGGGCTGGGGATGTAACTTAGTGTGAAGGTCCTGGTTCAATCCCAGTCCTGAGAGGGAGGAAAAAAAAAAGAGAGGGAGAGAGAGAGAGAGAAAAAAGAAAGAAGGAAGGAAAGAAAGACAAACAAAAAGGTCCCTGGTTTCCGGGGCTGCTTGTGATCCAATCCCCACGCAGTGGGGCTCCAGCTGACCCAGAGAAGCCAGGCTTCTCCGAGATCCAGAGCTGCCCCTTAAAGGGGACAAAGAGCTAGCTACAGGCAAACCAAGCCCACTTCCTTACCACCACTGCGACGCTGAGGTCCCGGGCCAGGGTCTTCAGCTCTCGGGCCAGCTGCATCATCAAAGCCAAGCCTGGGGGAGGAGCAGCAGATGGGGAGGGCAGAGAGGACTGGGACTGGGCTGGCGGGAGTCTAGACTCCTGCCTGAGCTGGCGATCAGTCCGTCCCCTGCCCACAGGCTTGGCCACACCACTCACCTTCCCTCTGCTGCCCTCCCAGAAGCGGGGAGACCACCGCAGCAATGGAGTCCACAACCACCACCTTCACGGTCCCTGAAGAGCCGGTCACCTGGAGGGGTGGGGAGCAGGTACCATGGACCCAGGGCCTCTGGGGCACACCCACTGCCGGCAAGCTCGCTCCTGTCAGAAGCTGCTCAGAAACAGTCTCCCCATTGCAGAGACAGCCGTGCAGGCACCATGGAATTGCAGCGCCCCCCGCCCCCATCTGTACGTGTAACACACACTGAAGACTCGGGTGGATGGAGAGCCTGTGACTCACGGTGTAAACACGGCCATCTCTAGGTTCTCCCGTCCGGCCTCCCACCATCCCATTAGACCCAGCTCCTTTTCTGACTCTCTTGCTCCCTCTCACTCCCTTTCCTGCTCACTTCCATCCCAAATTCCTAACTTCCTTTGCTGAAGAGGTTAGCTCTGTCTTTACTGTCTCCTAGCTCATGCAGGCAGCCCTCCTCGCCATAGCTAAAGTGGATCCTAACAAAAACAGTTCTTTGTCTGTACACACGTTAGCATCCTCCTCATTTCTCTGCTGTGTATTCCTGGCTGGCCTCAAGCTTATGGCAATCCTCCTGCCTCAGCCTCCAGAGTGCTGGGATTAAGGCATGTGCCACCACATCTGGCTTCCCCTGCTTCTTCCTTTTTCCCTTATTCCTTGTATCCTGTTTCTTTTTCTTTTCTTTCTTTTTTTGGTACCAGGAATAGAACTTGAGACCTTGCACTTGTGAGGCAGGCAGCAGAACCTCTGATCTAAATCCCTGGCCCTCCTGACTCTGTTTCTACAAACATGTTTCTACTAGCCACTGGCTATGTCTTAGCTATTCAGCATTATCTGCTTTTTTTACATGTCTCCCTCATCTTCCAACTATCCTTGGCAAGTTACCAGCTGGTCTACAAGAGAATGGCAGAAAAGGGAGAAGCTACAGCTAAAACTGGTTTAGACCTCCTCATGCCCCTGTCTAGCTAAATGGGACAGCAAGACTTTTGCTGCTCTGATTATGTTGCTGGCAGGTCATCTGTGGGGCCATCAACTTTGGGAATTCAAGCCATTTAGAATCGCTTCCCTTCAAGCAGTTGAGACCTGTGTCCTGCTGCTGACCATTAAGATGTCAAAAGTTGCTGGGCCTGCTGGTGCTCACCTGTAATCCCAGCATTAGGGAGGCAGAGGCAAGAGGATCTTGAGTTCAAAGCAAAATGGAACAAAATAAAAAAAAAAAAAAGAGCTGGGGACATAGCTCAGTGCAAAGGCCCCAGTTCAATCCAAGTACTACATACACATGAAACTTGGGCTACTGTTTGCACTTACTGTCCCTATTGTCTTGAAGAAGTGAGTGGCCACACGGTGAACACCCAGTGGAAAGGGTCACATGGCAGGAACAGAGGGCAGCCTCTGGGAGCCAAAAGTGACCTCTGGCCAATGCCGAAAAGAAACTGAAGTTGCTGGAAAATGTGTGCAAACTTGCAAACAGATTCTTCCCAGCTGAGCCTCCAGTTGAGAACACAGCCCAGCTGATGACCAGATTATAGTCCACGAGACCCTGCAACAGGACCCAGCTAAGCACACCCAGATTCTCGGCCATGGAGACTAGGGCACAATAAATATGGTTTTTAAATTTTGAGACAGGGTTTGCTATGCAGTTCAGACTGGCCTTCAACTTGCTAAGTTGCTCAGACTGGCCTCACCCTTGGGATCCTCCTGCCTCAACCTCCCAAGTAGCTAGGATTATAGGCATGCTCCATCATGCCTGGCTGAGAGAGATGCAGGGTTTGGTGTGTTTTGTTTTGTTTTGTTTCAGTACTGGGGATTGAACCCAGGGCTTTCACATTGAGCTACATCCCCAGCTGATTTTTTTTATTTGGACACAGGGTCTCACTAAGTTGCTAAACTTCCCAGGCTGGGTTTGAACTTACAATCCTCCTGCCTCACCCTCCTAGAGTGCTAGCCATCATGCCTGGTTGAGATGTAGGCTCTAAGTTTAGAGCTTGTCCTACAAAGTGGTGCCTTTGGCTACACACTTAACTTCTCTGGCCCTCTTTTATGTGTAAAAACGAGAGGGCTGGTGTGACTTCATGTCTCCACACACTGGTGGGTCCTAACCAGCTATGTCTCCTGCAGCAAGTACTAGTTCAACTAGGCTACATTCTAAAGTTTGTAAAACTCATTTACTTCACATACAACCCTGTGTATGCCTGTGGGAACAAGTCTCTGTAGGGACAGGGAAAAGGTTTGAGATGAACGAACCCATTCTGTCTCTAAGGTGCCTTCCCAATGTAACAGTCTATAAATCAGTGCATCAAATCCCATCTAAGTATCGCCATTCAAAATATCCATCCCATCCTTGGCTAACATGACTCTGAATACGTTTGGGTCCTGGGCAGAATCTCCTGACTTCAGAGAAGGTGGGCCCAGCCCCCGAGCCAAGATACACATCTAACTCAATTTTGGATAAGTAGGGCTGGGGGTGGAGCTCATTGGTGGAGCACCTGCCTAGCACAGGAGGCCTTCAATCCCTGTACTGCAAACAAACACCTCCCCAAAACCAAAAACCAAAACTGACCAATCAGATGGAAGAGGTAGCCCGGCACAGTGGCACATAATATAATCCACTGCCAGCAATCTGAGAGGCTGAGGCAGGAGGATTCCGAGTTCAAGGCCAGCCTGGGAAATTTGGCAAGATCCTCAAAAATAAAGGGTTAGGGCTGTAGCTCAGAGGGAAGGCTCTGGATTGAACCCCCAATAGCATGAAATAAAATTATAAAGGGAAGAGGAGCAAAAAGATCTACCCCTCACTGGCCTGAATAGAGAAGTAGATGTGTGAATACAAGATGCTTGGAGCAATGGTAATCACTCAGTCATCTTCACTCACTGTTTAGCAGGGATGATGAACATGTAAACAGTGAAGCGAAAGGACTAAGCACTACGGAATTCCACCTTGGGAGTTGAAAGCCCAGCTGGAGTCATCAGATCGCACATCTGCGCTCCCAGGTAGACTCGGTGTAGGACACCTGCCCGCACCAGGCGGCACCTGGCAAGCTGGGCGGAGCAGGGAGGGGGCAGAGGAGCAGGCTGACCTGCTGGGCCACAGCGCCTCGGAGGTCCTGCAGCTGGTCTAGCGTCTGGAAGACGTCAAACGCATGTGCGACCTGGATCCTCTGGAGAGCTCCTGCCTGAGGGCGGGAAGACAAGCAGAGGCCTGGAGTAACAAGTTGGGGGAGTAAGTGGCAGAGGGATTAGAAGGGTGAGAAAGCAAAGGGGCACTTAGATTCAAGCACTCGGGTCGAGAAAGGCCAAGTGGGTTCTGTCTGACGGAGCAGAGCTTATGGTGGCAGGTGCCTGCGTGTTCAGCTGTAAAACCCTCAGAACTGAGTGGGAAAGACAAGATATCACTGATCAGTGACGTGTACCGTGAGCAGGAAATGGGCCGGAAACGCAGATGCTGGGTACATGCCTGCACGGTTTGGGGTATGCAGGGAGTTGGGAGGGTTTCCGGGAAGGACAGGGCAGGTGTAGTGTAGATGGCATCCCAGCGGGAGGATGGCATTCCCAGGGGAGGCTTGAGGCACGCAGGAAGCACATCAGGACCACAAGTTCCACAGCAATGGTCCAAACTTCTGCAGTGTAAGGGACAATGAGGTCCTGCGGTGTGAGACTCTCAAAGGAACCCAGCCAAGCCCTTACCTGTTCCTCTTCATCCTGGGTCCTGGCCTGCAGCAGCTGGAGGAGGCGCAAGGCCGTCAGGCCTCCATTGCAGTCAATGTACAGGACGTTCTGCTGCAGGCTGTGGGCCACATGTGCAGCCACACAAAGACACACCTGAGGAGAGATGGGCCAGCAGGAGGACCAGAGCCCGGGGTGGGAGCTCCCCAGCACACTCGGGCTCCAGGGGCACAAACAGGCCAAGGCCAAGTCCACTTCCCGTCACCCACCCGGTCTCTTCTGACCCCTGACCCCAGAGGAGACCGCTGGAAGCTCCCCCAGGGGCCCCAGGACCCGCACCCCTCTTCTCCAGTCCTCCTGGCTGCTGGACTCCTACGTACCTGGGTTTTGCCACTACCTGGGCCCCCTACGATTTCAGTCACTTCTCCAGTATAGAGACCAGCATCCAGCAGTTTATCCAGGCTGATGGCAGAAGGGAAAAGTGAATAACTCAGGTTAGGGGGAAAGAGAGGAGGAGAAAGGCCAGACTTTCCTTCCCAGCACCAGCTCTGTCCAGAGACACCCCACACAGCTTGGTCAGGAGGATCCTGCAGCCACAGACTACAGGCCCCACGATGCAGCCTTATATGGTGAGCAGTACTCAGCACAATCACCCCAATCATTTCAGTTACAGGGACCATGGGCTCCTGCCCATCAGAGGCTCCGGTTCCCACTCCAGCCCTGCAGCTGCTTGGGATAACTGTGCTCTCGTTGCCCATATTTAATAAAGAGTGTCCAGCTCTGCCCTGCTGGGTCCCCTTCCTCCCGCTGAGATCTAGGAAGGCCTGGTGGTTGTGGCCATGTGGGTCTCCCACATTGTGGTCCCAGTCCAGGAGCCCCACCAACACCCAGGAACTGGTTAGAAAGGTGAATTCTCAGCATTCCTCCCCTAGACCTCTGGAATCAAAAATTCTAGGAGCCAGGGATTTAGCTCAGTGGCTCAGTGGCACCGCACCTGCCTCACAAGCACAAGGTCCTGAGTTCAATCCCCGGTACCACAAAAAAGAAAAAAAAATTCTAGGGGCAGAATCCACAGCTGAGTTCAGCAAGAACTCCAGGTGACTCTGATGCACACTTAAGTTTGAGACCCATTAAACCTGTCATCCTCAGGCCTGCCTGCACATTACAGGGGAGGTTGCAGATTCTTTGTTTTTGTCTTTGAGATCGGGTCTTGCTATGGCCCAAACTAACCTCAAACTCAAATGATCCAAACTAGCTTCAAAGGCTCAAATGATCCTTCTGCCTCAGCCTCCTTAGTAGCCAGGACTATAGGCAGGTACGTACCACTACATCTGTCTTCCAAGAGCTTTGTAAAAGTGCCCCCCCACTCTCTCTCTCTCTCTCTCTCTCTCTC